ACAAGGATGGATACTAAAACTTATTCTCAGTTCACCTATGACTCATCAAAAATCGTGGATTGCTTAAGAAGTTTTTTTCAATTATGCTGAAGGTTTCCTGATTCACTGATTTTGACAATACAATGAAGATTATCTAGGAGAGTGAAGAGAAGATAGTCAACTTTGAAGAGTTGTGTGTTAAGATGAATACCAATTTATATGAAGGAAAGCTAAATTATGTAATAGATATATGTAATGTTTTAAAATATTAGATTGAATTACATAATTAGTGTGTTATTTTTAAATCATTGTTTTTTGTTTCTTTTTGTTGTATTGAATGTGTTGCTTTTTGTAGCATCATGTTGTTTTCTGTTTCACCGTGTTGCTTTTTGTTGCAATGTGTTACTTATTTTGTTTTATTGTTGATCTTGATCTCTGTTGTTCATTTAGGTGTTTATTTATCTTTGAGTCTTCTTTAAAGTTAAAAAATTGTACATAGATTTATATTCAATCACCTAAATTAATAAATTTGGATTTGTGAATATAAACCAATCACGGGAAACATAAAGAAACACTAAAAAATCAGAGCTATAAACAAAATGAAACAAAGAGAAACAATGGACAATAAAAAGCAAACAAAACAAAAGTATATAATAAGAATTGTTTTAATTTGTACCTATATAAAAAAATTCGAAAATTCATATTTTTGAATTATTTCAATTGTTCCAATGTTTAATTCTATTTTGAATTTATTTTCAGTTTGCAAACTCCAACAATTACTAGCCGGACTAGCCGCATAATTCCTCACTTCCAGTATACGGTGTTTATGTGCACGTACCCTATTTCTGAAACAAAAAGTTTAATCAATAAAATTTTAAAAAGAATTTCTAAATTGACAAGTGATACTACTTCCATTTTTTTGTCTATCTGCGAAAAACCCCCTAATAACAAAACACACTCCTACAACCAGGGGCAGACGGAGAGGGGGCTAAACAGGCCCAGCCTGCCCCAAAATTTAAAATTCTTTGTATTTCTAATTTAAAAATTTATGTGTATAAACTTAATTGAAAAACTCTTTATGTTGGCTTACCCCAAACTTCTTCTCGCTATGCCCCTGTCCACAACTTTGAAGTTTCAACTCGCCGCCTGTAGAAATTTTGGCACAAGATTTAGGACGTGTTTGAATCTGATTCTTAAAACTTCTTCTGCTCCCTTGAAGGAGCAGATGCAGAAGCTGAAGTGTTTGGGTAAAAGTGCATAAGTGATCCAGGTGCTGTAATCTACTCCTAGAATCAGTTTTTTTTAGAAGCTAGGGATGACCAGCTTCTAAAAACTGATTTTGATTCTGCTTCTCCTTTAAAAAAGAAACAGAAACGGAATCAGTTCCAAACACCCCTTAAGGTATGTAAAAATAACTTGTTGCTGTTGTGTTTCACAAAACTATGAACCTTTTACTTAGTTTGGAAAAGAAAATGAATATGAAAAAAAGGGTAATTGAATATTTTTAAAAGAAAAACTTACCAAAAAAGGAAAGCATAAAGAACTTTTAAATATATCCCAAAAAGGAAAATATATGGAACTTTTAATACGTTGGCACTTGGCATGTCCAATTCAATATGGACTAATTTCATAACAACCTTGTTATAGGTATCCCATTTTGTACCCCAATTTGTACTTCAACCTATTTGTGTGGCTCATAAAAGTCCATTTCAATAAATAAATTGCTCCACTTTAATGAGTTGCTTTTGTGAGTTACAAAAATAGGATGAGTTACAAATTGGGATACCTTTACCATTTTTGATTTCATAATCTATTACTGCTCCGAAGTGAGAATGGGTCGTGCAAGTATTGATGATTGGCTTATATTGTGGTAGCTACTAGCTAGACCATGTTGCTACATGCCAATACTTTGTGCTCCTATTTGTACTCGATTAACCTATCTCGTAGATCTGGATTTTAAAGATTATATGGGTGTTTCTATTTGATAATGCTTCATTGCTTTGACTAATTGACTTCATTGCTTTGGAAGTACCATCAGAATCTATTTTTCAGAGATTAATTTTTCCTAACTTCTCAAAAATTGTTTTGATGAGCAATTTGGAGCGTCTAAAAGTATTTCTACATTTTCGTTAAAACATTTCAATATTTATTTCTGCTTCTTAAAATAGCAAAAGCAGTTTGAAGAAAGAGATCCAAATACTGAATAATTAAATTTTCAAAGATCCCATTTTTTAATCAACAAATGTGCTACTTTATACCCTCCTATAATAAATGAACAATTAAGTCATCATGACCTATGAACGTAAATACGTAATTGTGTGATTTGTGTGTCAATTAGTAATCTCCTAAACTCGAACACAAGCGTAACATTGATTAACACTATAGTCACCTAAATGTTTCATCAGATTGCTAATGACTCATGAAAAAGGTCATAACGACTACCTATCATGATGGAATTCGAAATTGTATTTGGTCATGATTAGCATGCGCACAGGGCGTCCTTGAGAAACGGGGACCCCGTGCAACAAAAAAAAATGGGCCTTTTTTCCATGACCGGGTGTATATTTTTTGGGAACATAATTATATCAAATACGAAGTACTATGTACCAAAACTACCAATAGTCGAAATTTTCTCCTAATCTTGTACGTGTTTAAGAATTTTTGTTAAAATTCAATTTACATTGTCGGTGAAATCATAAAACAATTATAATTTATAAACCTAAAGTTACTACTTGGTATTTACTAGTACTTAATAACATACTTATCTCAATTTCTTACTTAATAACATACTTATCCCAATTTCTTAAATCTTACTTGAATTATTGTTTTTTTGATCATTTACTTGAATTATTGTTAAACACGCTTATTCTCAATTCAATTACTCAATAAGTAATAAATTACTACAATAAATAGACAAAGAACGTACAACAAGGCAAGTAGGCATTTAGGCAAAAAACTAAAATCAAAGAATCGAAGAAATGTGAAAATCACAGTGCTTAGTTGCTTGATCCACATACGTAAAAAGCGTTGAGTTCTTTCTTTATTACTACTACTACGTATTTTTTAGCTGGGCTCTTGAATTTCTACTAAATATTCGAATATATACTACAGGTTTTCTAAAAAATGTGGGCCTTAATTATTTGTAGGCCCAGTGCAGAAGCACTGCTTGCACAGCCTAGTAGACGGCCCTGCATGCGCACACTACAAAATAGTAGTGATTAGGCACCACTTTTGTCACTCATTATTTAAAAAAGGAGGTGAGAAAACATATTACTCACTAGCTTAGGAAGTGTTTGGATTGCTTAAAAAAAGCGCTTTTCAGTTTTTGGCTTAAAAAAAGTTGAAAAGAGTGTTTTCAAATGACAGCTTCTGCTTAAATTAATCACTTAAAAGCTAAAAGCTGGAAGCAGGTAGAATGGTGCTTTAAACTGTTTCTCACTTTTTCTATTACACAAAAAGTACTTATTTTACCAAACGCTACCAACTTTTACTTTTTCAGAATCACTTTTTTCTTAAACACTACCAACTTTTACTATTAATCACTTTTCCCATAATCACTTTAAAAAATCACTTTTTAAAGTTGAAGCAATTGCAAATACTCCCTTAGACACTCAAGGCAGGTAGTGCCTAATTCCCGGTGCCAAATTAGTCTGTCACCCACTACGTTGGTGAATAAGGATGTTTTTACTTGGACCGTAATTTGCTGGTCTGGTCTGGTTTCGTTGTATTTTTATAACTATCCAAGTTTAGTTTGGTCTGGTCTGGTCTGATCTGGGACAAATTACAGTCCAAATAAAAAGATCCTAACTTACTCACTCTATTTTTAGTGTGAAGATGGGTGACAAATTTCTTACCCGGTACATCTTCCGTAACCCGATGGCGCGCGTTCCAAACTTTATGCCCATTTTTTTAGTTTCATGAATTAAATTTAAATAAGGAAGCAAATAAAAACTACTCTGTATTTATTAAACCAAATTTAATAAAACCAACATTATAATATTGTCCTAAACATTATTTAGTGCCTGTAAAAGGAACCGTGATTTATCATGATATCATTTTTTTTGCCCCGCTTATAACCAATATGCCTTTTTAATCATGTTTTAACTTTTTTACTCCTAAGTTTCTGTTTGTGATCAATATTATCTTTAAACATTTTTTTCAGTAGTGACAGTATAGTGTAACTTGTAATTACGTTTAATTCATCAATGGTACGTGAAATTATTAAATGTAAAATAAAATTACGAATATCATCATTTTATTAAAATTACAAGAGTTTTGTGGAGACACTTACCGAATTGAATATGATGCGAATCATGGAAGAATTTGTTCCTTAGCTTTAGTTCACATTTCTTCTTCCTTAATCAGCTGCAAAATTGTTATCAACACGATTGGACCGTGTCATGCTAACATTTTTTTAATAAAAAGCTTAATCGTGCTTGGAGATGGAAGAAGGGAAAAATTGGAGTCAAGTAGAGATCACTCTTGTAAAAGTATAAGGATTCACCTAATATATATACACACAAAATTAAAATACCGTTTAAATCTATTATGAAAATTAAAATACGTTTAAATGATCCTAAATTTACGACCGGATTGCTTCGTCTAACAAAACTTCCGCACGATTGATATTGAATCGGTCATTTGACTTTTTATTTCATACGTTGTATGATGTTATTAATCTCGGTAGGATTTATGAATTTACATTTCATCTAAAAACGAGTGAAACAGTGGGATACTCTTCGCGTAACATAGGTATGGAAAAATGTTAAGCGGAATTTGACCACCGATGGCATTTTTTTTAATATTTTACTCAGTTGTGCAACTCCTTTCATAATATTTTGATACTAGCTACGTTTAACTATAGGTCTATATATTGGTGACATATTAACGTGAACGATTTTTTATAAAGTAATTGACCTAAGTAGGAATGTAGGATTAAAATATATGATTAATGCAAGAATAGGACTATAGGCTTTTTTATTTCCAAAATAGGACTATTTTCTATTTTATTCCCACCCTACCCTTTCTTCTCACGCAGCAACGAATACATACGGACAAATATTTTTTCATTCTCTCTCTTCTCTCTCCTTTCTTCTCTCCCCCTCTCTTTTCTCTTCACGCACCAAATCAGAAACCAGATCTGCTCCCAAGCTCTCTTCAAGCAATAGATCTGCTCCACGCCAAACTCATCTTCGATCTTTTACACCTCCTGTTCAATCATATCTCCTCCTCTCACATATCTCCAGATTTCAATACATATAAACTCATCCGTCTTCGACCGATTTTAGAGTATGAACAGTGGTTTTATCTGGAGCTCCGGCGGGCGGCGGGCGGCGGACGGCGAGCAACAAACGGTGAGCGGCGGAGAATTCATAGGTAAGCTTCGACATTCCTACTCTTCTTCTTCATCTTCTTCTTCTTATTCCTCTTCCTCTTTTCTCAATCTCCTTCTTCTTCATTGTTCTGCTTCTCCTCTATCTTTTTATTTACCAGATTTTTAATTTTTTATTTATTTCAAATTTTTTAATTTTGTTTGATATTTATGTTTTTATGTTTTTTTTTATTATTTTTGAAAACGAAAATGACATTATTATTATTATTTTCTTAAAAATATCATCTATTGGAAGTTAATGCCACCATTATTATTATTTATATCTTAATGACATTTTTATGGCATTAATGACATTTTTATGGCATTAATGCCATGTTTTTTAACATGAATATGTCATTTTATTTCTGTCAAAATGGCAATAATGAACTTAAGATGCACTTAGATTTTTAATATTAGTCCTCTAAATCTGAAAATGCTGCTTCGAAAATGAATGTCATTTTTATGGAACTAACATTACAAAGATGGCAATAATACTTTTAATGAAAGACATTAGTGTCATGTTTGTCAAACTGAAAATGTCATTTTAATTTTGTCAGGGTGGCAATAGTGTCATTAATAAGATGACAATACAACTCCAAGATGGCACTTGTATAGTAATATTATCAAGTCACAAATCAAATCTCAGATCTGATGGCGGCTGGCTGGAAACATCGCTGGAGCATCACTGGATGAGGTGGCAGATAAAGCGGCCGGCGGCGACGTCAGTGGAGGCAGCTATCAGTGACGCCGGTGGAGGGGGGCGGCGACGTCGGTGGAGGCGGCTATCAGTGACGCCGGTGGAGGGGGGCAGCGGTGCCGCTGGTAGAGGCGGAGATGACGTTGGGGGCACCGGAGGTGAAATGTCGGCGCCACCGCCAGTGGTGGTGGCGGCGCCCACGTCGCCGGTGGAGGCGGCGGCGATGGAGGAGTTTGTGGTGCTGGAGATGGATGTGGTCTGCCAGAGGATTCACCGTATGTCTAGGGCTGCTGTCATTTTTATTTCTATTATTTTATTTGCATTGTTAATAAATAATGATTTATTCATTAAGGGTATTTTTGTCTATCTAACTCTTTTTAGTCCTACAGAACATAACCGAACATTGCACTCCTATTGTTGAACTTTTAACATTATTTAGTCTTACTTGGGGAATTATCTCTTTTTTATATAATATTATTAAGGGAAATTTCCTAGGGTAAGACTAAAACTCAATCACTTTCTTAATCTATGACCTAACTAGTTTTTAGACTTCCGTATGACCAAAAATCCAAAAAAAATAAATTAATTTCGTTTATCTTTAAAGGTTGAATGAAGAAAATATCCTTATTTAAAATATGTGAATTTTGCACTAAGTTCGTCCAATTAAAATTACTGCACTTTATATTGACGTTAATGCACGACATTAATGCAAGATTTTAATGCACATCCGGTAATTATCACTGCACTTCCGCCAAAATTAATTCTCTTCTCATTCACTTGAGGAATTTATTTTTAGTTTTTGTTTTTTGTTTTTTAGATTACATAATTTTATTATTTTACATCTAATTTAGTATATTGCATTTTATGATGATATTACTGCTCTATGTTACTGCAATACTAGTCATAATCACTGCATAACAAAAAATTTTAATGCATTCATTCACTGCCTTGTACAAAATGTCTATTACCAATGTATATTCACTGCACATACTGAACACGTATTGCACTAGTTCACTATCATTGCTCAATGCTCATATTTAATGCTCACAAACCCTAAATTCAATAAAACCTAATTTCAAAAAACTGAGAAAGTATGAATCAACGAATGGCTCTGTATGCGGCTGGAAAACTTGAGAGATGGTAGAAATTGATAATTGACAATCTCAATTCTCATAATTAAGTTGACCCTTCCATCACTAGAGACATGTTCTCATCATCAATAAGTTGACCGTTCCATATAGAGCAAAGAAACTCCTGGTTCCAATCTGCAATGAGTTCTATTCAAACCAAAAAATATGCTGACACAATATGGATGAAAAGGCAGCCTCCATTTACATCGTACAGAGTAATAAGTGATGGAATGAATTAAAAATCAAAAGAATCCTTCTTGGTGTACACCCTGGGTTACACCCTGGGGTACACCCCATTTATTTGCCCTTCACATAGACAAAAAACATGAAAACACAGACACTTTCAATTAAATTGTCGGTGTGAGTTTGCAGATCTGCCAAGCTAGTTGCACGCAAACCAATGTCGGTGTGCACAGACACTAGTTCTCTGTGTAGACAAAAAAGTGTTGGTGCGAACAAAATTGATTTGCAAGTTCAGGGGGTTGGGAAATTAGTGTCTGTGTACACAGACATTAGTTGTCGGTGTAGAAAAAAGTTTTTGTACTTATGCAATTTTCGTCGGTGTACACAAACATTAGTTGTCTGTGTAGAAACAAAAGTGTCTGTGCATATACAATTTTCATCGGTGTACACAGACACTGAAAGCAAATCAGTGTCGGTGTGCATAAAACGTAAAAAGAGAGAAGGAAAGAAAACCGACGAAAATTGTATATGTACAAACACTTTTTCTACACAGACAACTAATGTTTGTGTACACCGACACTAGTTTCCCACCCCCCGAACTTGCAAACCAACTTTGTTCGCACCGACACTTTTTTGTCTACACAGACAACTAGTGTCTGTGCACACCGACATGGGTTTGCGTGCAACCAGCCTGACAGATCTGCATGCAAACTCACACCGACAGTTTAATCGAAAGTGTCTGTATTTTTACGTTTTTTGTCTGTGTGAAGCCGTGAAGGGCAAATAAATGGGGTGTACCCCAGGGTGTAACCCAAGGTGTGCCTTAAGAATTTTCCAAATCAAAATAGAATGGCTTTTTAAGATCTGGTTGACCAATGTGCTCCAAGGGTCGGTGCTTGCAGAGACGAATGACGAATGAGTTTCTATTGATGCAGCAAACTTTCTATGGGCTAATTTGGACGGCAGCGGACTACATGCCACGGTGTGGCGGCGGACTACACAACGGGAACCCCTTAGCTAGAGACGTTAAATCTAAGGCCTTCACAACCAATCCTGTCGGAAGCACAAAAGAACAAACAAAGAAAATCACATGGGTCGATATTGTGAAATCGTCCAAAGACAAAATAGCTGGAAATGTCCTTCTCAGCACTGACCTTGCCGGTCCCTCCACTATTCGAAATCATTTAAGCCTAAAAGAAGGCAACTCATCTTTGGCCACGACAGATGAAAATTGGTCTGAAGCCGATCTTTTATCTAATGATGTTGAAGAATTCTTTTTCTTTGGAGAAGAAGGATTTGACTCAGTCAAAATTGAATCCAAATTCTTTAAATTTGCAGTTAGAAACAGCGAAATGGTCCTTTTCGAAATTAAAAAATCTATGTTGCACAAGATTCATTTCAACCGGGACCTTGCTCCTCATATCATCCGATCCATCACTCAGCTCACAAATCAAGATCAAGCAAATTTTACGCAGAAAAGAAGATTTGGAGATATCACGATTTCTTTGGAAGCTAACAGATCAGGCTCCTACGTCAAAATTGCTAAAGTGAAAGGAAGCTCCATTCACATTCCCATGGGGCCTCACAAATCCAGCCTGCTTAGATTCCTCTCTATTTTCTCTAATTTTGCAGTGCTTCCGAAGTGTAGGCAGGACGACTCAATCTCTTTTCAGCTCGGGAACACTATTGAAACACAGGACCCAGTTTCTATCTCCAAATTGATTTTTAACTCTCAAATCCAGGCAGTAAATACTGAGACTTATCAGGTCTACTCTCCAGGGAAACAACATCAGTTGCCATTGATACAGGCTTATTCGGACGCCTTTGACACTTTTGATCATTCTGATGACTCTTTCTTCTCAGATGACTTTCTGGGACATGCAACTGAAAATGATCGTTGTCCTCCCATTTCACTCCAAGAGGAAATTAGGAACTCTAAGTTCAACAGAGCGATCTGCCGCAAAGCTAATTTCGTTACCTCGGAAAATTGCTTGCCAACAAATAACCTGAACACACAACTTAAGATTTACAGGAAAAATAAAAAAAAACAAAAGGCGCCACAGCATGAGGACTAGGTCTCAGTCTAGAGATTTCCCTTGGGTCTAGATTAGTTCTTTTCGTTTTTTCCTATTCTTATTGTTTTTTATTTTATTTCCTTTCGCGCTTTGTAATACTTTCTTTTATCAATAAAATCCACTTTCTTTTTCAAAAAAAAAAAAAGAAAATGTAAAATAAGTGCTTTTTTCTTAAAAAAAAAAAAAGTCAAAATCACTTTTCTTAAGTGGTTGCAAACAAAGCCTTAGTGGTTGCCAACAAAAAATCGGTTGTTAAAGGTTGTTTGTCTCTAAACCCCTCTTTAGAGGCAACAAAAGATATGCCTCTAAAAACACATTTAGAAACAACCATATCCCTTTGCGTCAATAGTACATCAGAGGCCATCACATTATATTGTCTCATAATACAATTAGAGGCAACCATGTGGAATGATTCAAGAGACTTTTAGAGGATACATTATGTATTGTCATTAAAAATGTTGCGGTGCAACTTTTATATTTTGAGAGTTTTTAGGGACAAACATCCGTCCACATTTAGAGACAAACATCTGTCAATAGAAGTAGTATTCCGTACTTTGCTTTTAGACATTTAATAAAATACAATTGGATAAATAAGTAAATTTCGTAAATTTATTACGAAGAAAGTCAATATAGAATGTAATTCGATAAATACATAAATTTATTACATGAACTATTCGTTTAAAGTAAATTACTAATAAACAACACCATAGATAATTTAGCAAGTGTGCTTTTCTCAGATAAACAACACTATCCATTAATGTGGACCAGAATGGATCCAAAAGATAAAAATGTTGCTCTAGGGAGATAATTTCTCTTCATCTTCGTCACCATCATCATTTCCATCATTACCGTGATCACCATCGGCATCATCAAATCACCATCTTAGAAACATTTCCAAATATTGTACTCAGATACATACAATCGGCCACTAGTGAACCTTCAACAAACAAGCTAATAAACCACCTTCAATCAGTTTATCTTAAATAGTCTCAAACTATAATATTGCACTAGTACAACAAACAAAGAAACTAACTGATAAATGTTCATTTGTAATATCTTTAACTTGCATGTATAAACAATTTTACTGTCTGCAATAACATGTACGTAGTTTATTCCTTTAACCGGTAGGCCCAACACGTAACCTATAAATTTCGAGTGGAAGAGTGTGTGATTATCGGATGCTAGCAAGTAAGATGGGCTTAAAAGTGTCTGCAATAATGGGTCATATCTTATTAAGTGGTAATAAAGACTTGAATACAATGCGTCAATGCACTATGCTATCTGGCCAACGGTCGTTCGTCTGTCTTACAAGGAGAAGACTGAAGGGCTGCAGATAAGCTGCGGAAAATAATGATAGTCCAATAGTCATATCTGTGCATTTTGTTTATATCCTACATCCAAGTGTACATGTACACTCGTTTTTTTTGTAATTAGTAGGAAGTATTGAGGTAATTACTAAGCTTAATTAGCTCTTCCCTTTGCGCCGTTGCTCCACTCACGCTCTGATCCGCTCAGCCAAACTTTCAACAACAACCCTTCATCAAAACAGGGGAATCCGACTATGGCTGGCGCACAGTCCAACACAAGGGACGACGCCACTCCTTCCTCAACCAACGACCTGATGCAGTGCAGCTCCAATTAGTTAGCCACATCAGCAAACTAACAGTTTGTTAGAATTTGTTAGTTGCAATTCTGTTCCAATTTTCATATAAAAGAATGTAATAAGCTGTATTCTGAAAACGAGAAGTTCAATATGATTCTGCTTCATTTCTTCCTATCATTCTCTCTCATATTTCACTAAATCCTCCATTAAAATTAGCTTAGCTCGATCTGGTTTCTCCATCTTATTACCAGTTCCACAAGCTAGTATTGCAGGGTCAATCTCTACGGATCCAACCTGCACCATTGGTATCAGAGACTATTTCTCGTAATCATTCAAAATTCTGATCGCAATTGTTAGACATCAGCAATTTCACGATCAATTGCAGTAATTCCGCTTCAACAAAATTAGTGACAGATGGCGCCTACTGTCAGAGAACTAGATGACCTAATGAACAAAAAGTTCATTGAAAATGATGAACAACTCAAGAATCTAAGTGAAAGAATGGGGAATCTTGAGCAAATGATACAAAATCTGACGAACTTGATGCAGAATAATCAAGATACTCGTCGCCAGCATATTCTCCACCAAGAACCATCTTCAACAGCTGGTAACGTGATCAGGCCTGAATCTTTTGCTACCAGGTGTACTAAGATTGATTTTCCTAAATTTCATGGTGAAAATGTAAAAGAGTGGTTATACAAGTGTGAACAGTTTTTCACCATTGATAAAACTCCAGCATATGCTAAAGTTTTTATAGCATCCATGCATTTAGATGGTAAGGCATTGCAATGGCATTATGCATTAATGAAGGATAAAGAAAATACTGATATAATGCTATGGGAGGATTATGAGAAACTGGTGCTTGAAAGGTTTGATCAAACTTTTGATGATCCTATGGCTGAAATGATGTCATTAAGGCAAGCAGGTTCTGTAATTGATTACTTGGAACAGTTTGAGGCTATATTGACTAGATTAAAGTTGTCTGATGAACATAAACTGAGTTGCTTTGTTAATGGATTGAAACATGAGACCAAGATGCATGTTAGAATGTTTAATCCCACTTCTGTCCAATATGCTGCAAGATTAGCCAAACTATATGAAAGCTCTAAGGAGTATAAACCAAAACCTGCACATGCACCTTTTGCTAACCTCAAACCTGCATCCCTGTTGCCCACACCAAGTTCTAGGCCTTTTACATCTAAAACAGTCACAAATAACCACCAAGAGCAACCACAGAAGCTACCCACGCAATCTGAAATGACTGAAAGAAAGTCCAAAGGATTGTGTATGTATTGTGGTGATCCTTACACTCCTGGTCATTATGCAGAAAAACACAAGAAACCTCAGTTGTTTTATATTGAGGGAGAAGAAGAATATGGGATAGAGGAAGAAGATATGCCAGAAGAACCAGGAGTATGCATTTCTATGAATGCTATGGTGGGTTTACCTCATTTTCAGACAATGAGAGTGACAGGTTATGCCAATAAAAAGCCATTGCACATCCTGATAGATAGTGGCAGTACACATAATTTCATTGATGAAACTACTGCTAAGAAAATGGGTTGTAAAATGGAAGAGGTTAAGCCTATGTGTGTAGCTGTGGCTGATGGTAATAAGATGATTGTATACAGAATGTGTAAAGGATTTCAATGGAAAATCCATGACACCACGTTTACATCAGATTACATGGTGCTACCTTTGGGTTGTTGTGATATTGTTTTAGGTATTCAATGGTTATCAACATTGGGTCCAATAACTTGGGATTTTCAGAAGCTACTCATGGAATTCAAGATAAATGGAAAGAAGCATATGTTGAGGGGATCAGATAATACCAACAAACTCAAGCTCACATCATCCCAGAAATGTCAGGAATTGATAGCAGAAGGGGGCAGTCAATTAGCCATGATACAACTGACAGATCTTATGGATCATGAAAGGGTACATTTCTCATACTATTCTACTCTATTATCAGCCCAAGTAGAGATTATTGATCAAAATAAAGGCATTACTGACTTGATAGAAAAATATTCTATCCTTTTTGAAGAACCAACTGAATTACCTCCTTTTAGGGGAGAATTTGATCACAGGATACCCCTTAAAAATGGATCTCAGCCTGTTAGTATGAGACCATATAGGTATCCATCCCTGCAAAAAGGAATAATTGAGAAGTTGGTCAAGGAAATGCTGGAATTTGGAATCATACAAAACAGTAGCAGTCCATATGCATCTCCAGTGGTTTTAGTGGGAAAAAAAGATGGATCTTGGCGCCTATGTACTGATTACAGAGAACTGAATAAACAAACAATAAAGGATAAATTTCCAATTCCATTATTGGATGACTTACTGGATGAACTTGGAGGAGCTACTGTGTTCTCAAAATTGGACTTAAGGAGTGGTTATCATCAACTAAGGATGAACAAAGAAGATGTCCACAAAACAGCTTTCAAAACTCATGAAGGACATTATGAGTTTGTTGTTATGCCTTTTGGACTATCTAATGCCCCATCTTCTTTTCAAGGCCTCATGAACCACATTTTTAAACCATTTCTCAGGAAGTTTGTCCTTGTATTCTTTGATGATATACTCATCTACAGTAGAATAGTGAAGTGATAGGCTCGTTCCGTTCCTATCTTTTCACCTATGCTTTGGGTGTTAATTGTCTAATTTTTACAATTAATCGGGTGACTATTGGGGGTTTTGAGTGAAAATTTGTTATTTTTCGGTTCCGGTGGCATTCATATTCAGTGTAGTATTTTTGTACACAATTTGACATTCTTGGAGTAATTTGATTGTAAAGTTACATATTATTAGCGGGTGTGGTGAGTTGTTATTGTACAGGCCGAGTTTGCGGTAAATATGTTTGGACCAGATCATTTAAGGACTGTTTTTGAAGTTAAGTGCAATCCAAAATGAAAAAAAAAGGACAGCAGCAGTTTGTTTAATTGATAGCAGCCCAAAAAGAGAGTAAGAAGGAGCTGGGGTTTTTCCTGGAGTAAGCAGCCCAGCCTGGACTCCATTCATTCCTCCCACTTCTGAAATTACGTAGCCGCACCAGCAGTTTTTTTCATCGTTCTTTCTGTTCGTAGACAAGTCCTGATATCCGTCAATTAGCCGCAGCCGGCAGTAGTAACCAGAAGACCAAGTAGCCGCACTTTTTATTTTCTGATTCATTTAGTAGCAATTAGCCGCAGCAGTAATCCATAACCAAGGAACTTCGCTTTGCTTTCATTTCAAGTATTGTAAGTTTAGTTATTTACGGCATTAGTTCTTCAATTTTGACTGAATTTCGAATTTCTTTGTTTCCAATTAGCAATCTCAGATTTTCCCATCAAATACTCATAATTCACTCTCTATTTCTAGCTTCTTATCATGTTTATTATGCTCATTAATATTTTTGTGATGTTAATTTTAGTTATGAGTAGCTAATTTCATATAGGGTTTGAATTGGGACTAGGGTTCATGGGTTCTTGAGGGTGTGAATTTAGTTCTTTAAAATTCAATTAATCTTCTGGAAAATTTGTATAAGATTAATCATAATTGTCTATATGAATTTGATCACCTCATATATGAATGTCTGGATTTAATTCAGTTCTTGTCTATGAGAAATTGAGTTAAATTAGGTCGGATCTTATACAAGCAATCTGATCTTAGAAATAAGTTAGGATTGTGATAATATGATTTTGCTCTTGTCTATGAGAAGTGATTTCATTTTCTGTCCAGGAATAATTGAATATTAATTTACTTGATTCTAATCCCGAAAGAACACCCAGAACCCGAACCATCCAATTTGAACCCTGTTTTTAATATCCTGAATCAATTTAATTTAATTTTTTTTCTCTATTTAATTTTGCACTCACTATTAGTTAGTTTTATTTTTAAACCACTCAAAAAATATTTATTCGGAAAGATTACCATGACTTGTGCTAACCTATGATCACGGACTGTATTTAAAACTTCCTTTTTGCCACTCCTTGAGAGACGATACTCGTGGTCTGGTTATTCTTCGGATTAGCCAACTACGTTTTACTCACTAAAAAATACACCGATCAAATGGCGCCGTTGCCGGGGAGTGGCACGGTTGTTTGTTAAGTACTTTTCTGTGGAATAGGTAAAAGCAAGTCGGTGAGACTTTCTATTTTTTTCCTGTTATTTGTGTGTCGTTTTTTGTGTTCTTTGCACGTGAACTAAGTTGCAGGAACCAGTGCATGCACACTCGCTCCTCGGAGGAACAAGATTTAATTGCAGGTTATTCTAATCCTGAACGCTTATTCCGAGGACGAGCTAAAAGGAGATTGCTAGAACACTTGGACAAGATGGCCGATCAGACAACTCTGGAGACGTTGACGCCTAATTATGTGGCGAGAAATAGCATTGGGGCACCCACCATTGAGGCCAACAATTTTGAAATCAAGCCGGCCATGATTCAGATGCTTGCTAATAATCCATTTTGTGGATACGCCCATGAAGATCCAATGGATCATATTGAGAGCTTTATTCAGACTTGTGCCACGTTCAAATATAACGGGGTATCCAGCGAGGCAGTGAGGTTGACTTTATTCCCATTCTCTTTGAGAGACAAGGCATCACGGTGGCTCCGTAGCTTTCCAAACGGGCACTTTGATACATGGGAGAAGCTTCATCAAGCATTTATGCAGGAGTATTTTCCTCCCTCTGCCGCTATCAAGGTTCAGACGGAAATTCTCAATTTCACTCAAGCTCCGACCGAATCTTTCAGTGAAGCATGGGATAGGCTGAAGGCGTTGAAAAGGAAGTGCCCTGAAACATTCATGAATGCAGCAACTATTATGTGCAGATTTTATAATGGGCTTCGGTTGGAGTATATGAGAGAACTAGACCGGGCAGCTCAAGGGGGTATGTTTCTGAAATTATCTCCACAGGAAGAAGAGCAAATAATTGAAAACTTGGCTTCAAATGACAAGTATTGGTATGCGGGTAAAGAGAGAGCTCAAAATCCACCCGGTTTGCTCAATCTTGATCCCATCACTGCACTTACAGCGAAGATTGAGGGGCTGGTAGTGGAAGTGAAAGACTTGAAGGCGCAGACCTCTCAACAGCAGCAAGTTCATAATATTGGGGCATATCAGCCCTCTTATCCTATGTATTCTGCCCCACTTCCTGTTCGAGCAAGCTATCCAAGCCCAACTGGCCAAGAACTCACTTTATCTTGCGAGATGTGCATGGGAGCTCACCTCACTCACACCTGTCCTCTTTATGTTCAGAATCAGGCATCACCAGTGGTCCAGAACGTCAATTTCATGGAATATGGTCAAGGCCAGAGAGGAGGTGGGCAGTTTTTCAACAACCAAGTCCAGAGGGGAAGTTTTCAGCAAGCAGGAGGTTTATGGAGGCCCGAAAATCAGAACCAAGGGCAGCGGAATGCCCCTAATTTTCAAGGAAATTTCCAGATTAGAGGCCATCCAAACCAGCCCGCTTATATCCCGCCTCATCAAAGACAGCTTGAGCAGCCTCCTGTAAATGCGGCGTTGGAGAAAACAGTGGTTGAATTAGCCAAAAATCAGACTGATATGTATCAACGTTTCAGCAATTTGGAAGCTCTCATTCGCCAGCTTGGTTCACTTGCTCCTAGAGAAACGGGCAGCCTTCCGAGTTCAACAGAACCTAACCCAAGGGAGCATGTGCAAGCTGTTACGCTACGAAGCGGGAGAACACTTCCAGAAGTTTCTACTCCGCCAATGTCTCAACAAGATGATGACCAGCAGCTTCAAGGCCCCAAATCCCAGGTTGAAGAAGAACCAGTGGCTGCCCCTATTCCAGCCAAGAGTGAAGAAGTCCAGAATGAAGAAGCTCAGAAGAAAAAGGAGAGTAAGAAGACTCCACCCCTTCCGTTCCCTACACGGGTGAAGAAGAGCAATGATAACACGAACTTGATCAGATTTATGGAGCATCTAAAACAGCTCCATATCAATATGCCATTCATGGAAGCATTGACAGAGATGCCGAGGTACGCGAAGTTTCTGAAGGACCTCCTCACGAAAAAGAGGAGGTGGGAAGAGCCAGAAGTGGTGGATCTCAATGCAGAATGTTCAGCGGTTGTTCTGAGGACCATGCCACCAAAACGAAAAGATCCAGGGAGTTTTCTTGTACCTTGTTCTATCGAAAATTTTATGTTTAATAATGCTTTAGCTGATTTAGGAGCTAGCATCAACCTGATGCCTTCCTCTGTGGTCATGAAACTTGGCTTGGGTGAACTTAAGCCCACTCGTATGAGCCTCCAGCTAGCGGACCGATCGGTGAAATACCCGAAAGGAATTCTAGAGGATGTATTAGTACGAGTGGACAAGTTCATATTCCCTGTCGATTTTGTGGTCATGGACATGGAGGAAGATCGTGAGACTCCACTTATTTTAGGGAGGCCCTTTTTGGCTACTGCTAGGGCCCTTGTTGATGTTGCTGATGGTTCACTTTCTCTGAGAGTTGGGGACGATGTGTGCACTTTTAAACTCTCAGATGTGATGAGTAAGGCCTCAGACCCCACTGAATCATGCAATTATCTTGATATGTTTGAGTCAGTGGAGGGTTATTTGTTTGGAGGCGATAGTGATATTACCCCACCGGATAGTGACATTCATTATGCGGGGGATATAGTGGCTGAAAATGAAGAAGAAATGACTGTTGATTGTGAGCAGGTGATTAGGGATGATGTTTTCCCTAAGTTGCTTACTGAGTTTGAGGAGCAGCCCACTGATAAGGTTACTCCTGAACTCAAACCACTCCCTAGTCACCTGGAGTATGCATTTTTGGACACAGAGGGCCAACGGCCTGTCATAATTTCAGCTCAGTTAGAGTCGGGACAGAAGGAATTTTTTTTGGATGTCCTTAGGTGCCACGAGCAGGTCATTGCTCGTAAGCTTGAGGATCTTCGTGGGATTAGCCCAATCTTCTGTACCCACAAAATTAAGTGTGAGGAGGGGTATAAACCAGTCGTGCAACCGCAACGACGCTTAAACCCCAAGATGATGGATGTTGTAAAGGCTGAAGTCCTGAGGCTTCTGGATGTGGGTATAATTTACCCGATTTCAGATAGCCAATGGGTTAGCCCTACTCATGTGGTCCCCAAGAAAGGGGGTATGATAGTTGTTAAGAACGAGAAGGGGGAACTCCTACCTAGTAGGACTGTGACTGGGTGGCGGAAGGTCATTGATTATCGTAAACTGAATGAGGCCACCCGGAAGGATCACTTTCCCTTACCTTTTATTGACCAGTTGATTGAGAGTTTGGCGGGGCATGCTTATTATTGTTTCATTGACGGGATGAGCGGGCACTTTCAAATACACGTTGATCCCGTTGACCATGTAAAGACCACTTCTACTCGCCCATTTGAGCCAGACTAGGAATGAGATATTATCGTCAAGCTAGTGACGTTAAAGAAGCGCTTATGGGAGGCAACCCATCATAAAAAAAATAGAATTAGGAGTTCAGTATTTCTTGTTTTTGCATTTCCCCCCTTTGTTTTTGTGATTTCGTCTTGTGGTGTTGCAGTTGGATTTCTTTGTTGCTTTGAATTGCATATGCAACCTGGTTATCATAGACAGGTGAGGATGGAGCTCCTCAAGGCTGTCAGCTGCAGATTACTTTGCAGCAAGCCCGAAAGCGGTATGAGAGCTGGACGCAACTTCAAACACTTGCAGGGCAATGGTTAGAGGCCTACACATGTTCAAGGAGTTGGGGTTTCGCTGGACAGAAACTTGGCAGCAGCAGAGGAACATTTCTGGCAGATTCTGGGAGATTTTGGACGGTGTGAGATGTCGACTTTTGAGGCCAGAACAGCTGGTCCTTGGCCGTTTTCTGTCAGCATAAGCATCACAGTACATGAGGGAGGAACCAGTTGGATGCCACACTCTCTTATCCGGTTCAGATTGAAGGGAAGCAATTTCAATACACTTATTTAGTTCGGTAACCGGCATAGGTGCAGGCAGAGTAGCTCCAGCAGCTCACTTTTGGTTTACCAGCAAGCTTTGGCAGCATAAATGGGAAATTCACAGTTATGGCACACTTGCCACGCTTTCTCAAGAGTTGAAGGACTTCAAGTAGCGTACGAGGCAGACTGTGTGCAGGATTCAGCGGCATGTATGCATCGAGGAGACTGAATTCAGCCTTATTAGGGAGGTTATTCACCGCCGTTTGGCTTGTACGGTATTCTGCCAGCTCTTACTACGCTGCTAATAATGTGTGTTTACTCTCATATTACTCCTTTGTTGATTTGTGTTGATTATTATTCTGATTATGATAGTGTTGCCGGGCTGGAAATCTTTTTATTTTTTAACTTGCCCCTGCTATTTTTTTGTCTTAAATCTTTTCTTTGACCTCGAGGGCGATGTCACCCCTAAGTGTGGGGAGGTTTGGTTGTTGCTTGTACATGGCATTTGGTGATGAGGTTATTCTGTCCAACAACATTTTGAGGTGCACGGTTTTTTTTTCTAGTTTAGCAACGCAACAGAGGTAACTTGTTAATCTTTACTTTCTTTTGTAATCTCCCATCTCCTCCATCTTTCTTGGAAAGAATTAGTAATGGTGTAATCATCGGGGTGGTGTGTATATTCTTGGGAAATGTTGGCATGTTGGATGGTTTGATTTGTGTTGATTGAATTCGGTTTTACTCGTGATTGACTAGTTCGCATCAAAAATTCCTTAACTGGCCAGGTGTTGAAAATCCTTACTCCATAAGGAGCTCTGCTTTCTAAGCATATCGGGATAACTTCATGCTAAGCAGGTAACTGATTCTTGTAATGGGGTTACACTTCGTGTGTCGAGAATTTCATCCCCGAAATGGGGCTCTGCTCATCTCGCGAATCACCTCGTGTGAGAGTTGAGTACACAGTAATGAGATAAACTCCCAGGCCCTAAAACTTGAATCAGTCCTGTAATCCAGAACCTTGTCAACTTTACATATTCAAAAAAAAAAAAAAAGAATCACGAGTATACCAGTTTTATCACACAATTCTTGGGTTTTTGGAATGATTGGTGGTTTGAATTTCACACACCTACACCGTTGGGACCATCATGTTTTTCTTTACATTTTAGTTGGTTGGAGAGGGACTTTACTTTTGAAAATATTGTTTAGCATGTGAATCTTGGTTTCGTTGTTAAGAAAGAAAAGACCTTGTGCAATCATTTGTTTTGGGTGTGAATGATTTTTGAACCAGGTGTTATAGGTGATTATTTTGTTTTCCGTGGATTAATGCACTGTTGCTTGGGGGCAAGCAACGCTCAAGTGTGGGGAGATTTGATAGGCTCGTTCCGTTCCTATCTTTTCACCTATGCTTTGGGTGTTAATTGTCTAATTTTTACAATTAATCGGGTGACTATTGGGGGTTTTGAGTGAAAATTTGTTATTTTTCGGTTCCGGTGGCATTCATATTCAGTGTAGTATTTTTGTACACAATTTGACATTCTTGGAGTAATTTGATTGTAAAGTTACATATTATTAGCGGGTGTGGTGAGTTGTTATTGTACAGGCCGAGTTTGCGGTAAATATGTTTGGACCAGATCATTTAAGGACTGTTTTTGAAGTTAAGTGCAATCCAAAATGAAAAAAAAAGGACAGCAGCAGTTTGTTTAATTGATAGCAGCCCAAAAAGAGAGTAAGAAGGAGCTGGGGTTTTTCCTGGAGTAAGCAGCCCAGCCTGGACTCCATTCATTCCTCCCACTTCTGAAATTACGTAGCCGCACCAGCAGTTTTTTTCATCGTTCTTTCTGTTCGTAGACAAGTCCTGATATCCGTCAATTAGCCGCAGCCGGCAGTAGTAACCAGAAGACCAAGTAGCCGCACTTTTTATTTTCTGATTCATTTAGTAGCAATTAGCCGCAGCAGTAATCCATAACCAAGGAACTTCGCTTTGCTTTCATTTCAAGTATTGTAAGTTTAGTTATTTACGGCATTAGTTCTTCAATTTTGACTGAATTTCGAATTTCTTTGTTTCCAATTAGCAATCTCAGATTTTCCCATCAAATACTCATAATTCACTCTCTATTTCTAGCTTCTTATCATGTTTATTATGCTCATTAATATTTTTGTGATGTTAATTTTAGTTATGAGTAGCTAATTTCATATAGGGTTTGAATTGGGACTAGGGTTCATGGGTTCTTGAGGGTGTGAATTTAGTTCTTTAAAATTCAATTAATCTTCTGGAAAATTTGTATAAGATTAATCATAATTGTCTATATGAATTTGATCACCTCATATATGAATGTCTGGATTTAATTCAGTTCTTGTCTATGAGAAATTGAGTTAAATTAGGTCGGATCTTATACAAGCAATCTGATCTTAGAAATAAGTTAGGATTGTGATAATATGATTTTGCTCTTGTCTATGAGAAGTGATTTCATTTTCTGTCCAGGAATAATTGAATATTAATTTACTTGATTCTAATCCCGAAAGAACACCCAGAACCCGAACCATCCAATTTGAACCCTGTTTTTAATATCCTGAATCAATTTAATTTAATTTTTTTTCTCTATTTAATTTTGCACTCACTATTAGTTAGTTTTATTTTTAAACCACTCAAAAAATATTTATTCGGAAAGATTACCATGACTTGTGCTAACCTATGATCACGGACTGTATTTAAAACTTCCTTTTTGCCACTCCTTGAGAGACGATACTCGTGGTCTGGTTATTCTTCGGATTAGCCAACTACGTTTTACTCACTAAAAAATACACCGATCATGAAGGATCATATTGTGCATCTGGAACAGGTTTTTCAGATTCTCAAGGAGAATAAGCTATTCCTTAAGAAAAGTAAATGTGCTCTGGCAATGACTAGGGTTGAATACCTAGGTCATTTTATATCTGCTGAAGGGGTAAGTACAGATCCACATAAAGTTGAAGCTGTGAAGAATTGGCCTATTCCTAAAAACCTAAAGCAACTGAGAGGTTTTCTAGGTCTTTCTGGCTATTACAGGAGGTTTATTAAAGGATATGGTCAGGTTGCAAAACCTTTAACAGATCTTTTAAAAAAGGACAAATATTCTTGGAATGAAGAAGCCACAGTAGCATTTGAACATTTGAAGAAGCTACTGTGTACTGCACCAGTGTTAGCTCTTCCAGATTTTGACAAAACATTTGTCATTGAAACAGATGCTTCTGGGTATGGAATGGGTGCAGTGCTTATGCAGGAAGAACACCCTATTACATTTATCAGCAAAGCTCTTGGTCCTAAAAATCAAGCAAAGTCAGCTTATGAGAGAGAACTAATGGCAGTGGTGTTTGCAATTCAGAAATGGAGTCCATATCTTCTCAACAAACATTTTATCATCAAGACTTATCAAAAAAGTCTCAAATACTTATTGGAACAAAGGATTACTAATCCTTGCCAACAAGATTGGATGGCAAAATTAATGGGATATGATTTTGAAATACAATATAAAAAGGGGCAAGACAATAAAGTGGCTGATGCACTTTCAAGAAAAGAGGGAATGTCTGATTCTCAGCTCTACCACATAATTTTGAATCAGATACAATCTGATATGCTGCAGCAAATCAAGCTTTCTCAGGAAAAAGATATGGCTTTACAAAAGATAGTTGAAGATTTAAAAGCTGATTCGTCTTCTCATATGCATTACAGTTGGAAAAATGGTGAACTTAGAAGGAAAAAGAAGCTGGTTGTAGGGTCAGAAATGGAGCTTAAGAAACAATTACTACAATGGGCTCATGATTCCTCAGTAGGAGGACATTCTGGTAGGGATACTACCATTCAAAGACTGAAATCCCTATTTTATTGGACAGGCATGTTCAAGGATGTTCAAAGATATATTAGAGCTTGTGATGTGTGTCAAAGGTGTAAATATGACCAGTCTAGCTACCCAGGCCTTTTGCAACCACTTCCTATACCTACAAGGGTGTGGTCTGCTATCTCCATGGATTTTGTTGAAGGTTTGCCTAAATCTAATGGTAAAGAAGTAATCCTGGTTGTGGTAGATAGACTAAGTAAAGCTGCACATTTTTTGGCATTATCACATCCATTTTCTGCAATTGAGGTGGCTCAAGTTTACATGGATAATGTTTTTAAACTTCATGGTCTACCAGATTCAATTGTAAGTGACAGAGATTCAGTCTTCCTCAGCAATTTCTGGAATGAATTGTTCAAATTACAAGGTGTGGAGCTACTCAGATCTACTGCATATCACCCACAGACGGATGGGCAGACTGAGGTAGTCAACCGATGTCTTGAAACCTATTTAAGGTGCATGTGCAACTCTCACCCACATACATGGAGTAATTGGCTGGCATTAGCTGAGTGGTGGTACATTACTTCTTTCCATTCAGCTACTAAAACTACTCCTTATGAGGTACTTTTTGGTTAACCACCTACAACTCCAAGACGAAACCCCTTTCCCCAACCCTGCGAATTCGTTTATTCTTTCTTTTCTTTTTTTGGGCAAACGTTCTTCTTTCTTTGTTTATTCTCCTGTTTTTTGGTCTTTTTTGTTTCATCTTCTTTCTTTTTTGTTTTGTTTTTGTAGACACCTTCTACTTTAAATTCATATAATATAAAATATTATAAAATGATTTAGTTTATTTTTTATATTCATGTAGGAGTCAATTATAGATATATGAGCACATATCATGATACTCAATTGCATGTTTTCAATGCTCAATAGTGAAGGTTTGATGCTCAACAAAAATGTCTTGATGTTCAACTAAAAAACTTATGATTTTCATATCAACACTTATTTTGTAAGTTACGTTTGTTCAATTTGTACTCATATTATGCTCATTTTTAAAATATCATATTCATGCAAATTTTAAAAGTTGCATATGACATTGGATTCACATTGTTAAGTTCTTATATACTCAACTGAATAAGTCTGATGCTCATTAAAAGTGTTATAATGCTCGTAATAGGTCTGATGCACATTAAAAGTACATTAATGTTCATTAACAGAAATTGTAATTTCATCTACTTAGATTCATGATGGTGTGAATTTCCTATTATGTATGTTTGTATTTTTAACTAGTTATATTAGTTCTAGTTGTGGAAATTACACACTTTTGATGTAATACTTGTTTTCATTAATTATTAGTAATTTATTTAGATTAGGATTATTTTGAGTTTAGGACATGTCAAAATCATCCCAAGAATCAAAGGATGGATCTTAAAGACAAAAGAATGTGCAAAAAGGAGAAGATCAGATGAAGATTTTGAAATTTGTTCAATACTCGGTCAAGTATTGCCAATACTCGGTCGAGTATTGGCCGGATACACTGGTCAAAATCAAATCTGGGAGCAAAGGAACATGGCTGAATATTTGATGAGAATCTTGTCTCATACTCGGTCTAGTATTGGCAATACTTGGTCGAGTATGCTTATTTTTCACTATTTCCTGAAAATTTCCTCTCATATTCGGTCCAGTATCCCATATCCTGGATCGAGTACAAAACCCTGCCACCTCCATTTTGCTATAAATACACCCCTTTTCCTTCACATTAAGATGACCAATTCTCATATACTTCTAAGCTCAGTTTAGAAAAGTATTTCCTTTATATTTTCTAGTATGTTTAGTCTCCAAATGAGGAGCTAAACTCTTCCATCTTAGTTTTGCTACTTTGAAGCTTAATGAATTGTAAGTTGTGAGTTGTTTTCTTTAATCTTTTTCCTTGAATATTAACTCTTCCTTTAATCTATCTATATATTAATGTTGGGGAGTGTTACTAAGATGACAATTAGATAACATCTCGACATTAGTTATAGTAGTATTCATTTACTTCCTCTATATTAATGTTGGGGAGTGTTGCTAAGATGACAATTAGTTAACATCTTGACATTAGTTATAGTAGGATTTATCATCTTTAATATTCTTCCTTGAATATTATTTATTTCCATTCATACTTCATATTAATATTTTGAGCATTACTTAAAGGATCAACTAGTTTTGTTTCATATATTAATTATCACTAGAATCGATCGACGAATACGCGTGTTAATCGTTCGGTCTTTTCCACGGTAGTAAACTTCGATTATTAATGCATGTATCTCATGGTTAATAATCTAAGGGGGATTAATTATATTGATTGAACCAATAAACCGCTTGTGTTGATATTATCAATCTCAATCGTTTTCATCTTAATTTTATTGCTACTATCGGGTTAATATACGGTGCGTGTTCTATATTGACTCGGTAGTAAGTTTTATTAAAGAGCGTGTCTCGTTATTAATAACTACCCTCGATGAATTGAATATGCTCTTCAATTGAGTATTCGAGAGGAAGATGATTAAAGATATAACCAGGATCGACGAACATTTCATTAAGTGGATAAAAGCAAAACCAAGTCCTCATCTATTTTAATTGAACTCATATAAATCATTCATCTTAGTGCTAATTTAATTAAACCAAATCAAACTTTAAAACCCCCTTGTTACTAGTTACATAAAAAGAGAAGTATTTCTTTCCGTGTGGATACGAACCTTACTTCATTATACTACGTATAATCGTTGTATTGATATTTATTTTGACACACATCACGACAAAGTGCTCGTCAATTCACATATTGAAATTCGTAAGAGTTGATTATAAATATAATTTATTAAGTTTTTATAAAAGAAAAAATAGTAAAAAGAAAGTCACTTAGAAGTTATGAAGCAGAGATCACGATTCTCAATATTAGATTTCTAATACTCAACATAATAAGCCCAATGCTCATTAAAAGTTCATTAATGCTCATTTAGCAGAAACTGTGACTTTTATCTCAATAACGAAGGTTTGATGCTCAATTAAAATGTTGTGATGTTCAACTAACAAATTCATTTATACGCATTTTGTAAGTTAGGTATGCTCATCTGCTTGTGATCTAATGCTCATTTTGTAAATGGCATATCAATGCATTTTTAAAAGTACTATTCTACATTAAATTCACATATTGAAATTCATAGGAGTTGATTATAAATATAACTTAATAGTTTATAAAAGAATAAATAACAAAAAGAAAGTGAATTAGAAGTTGTGAAACAGAGATCACGATTCTGAATATTACTCATAATACGATTCATGTCAATAGCGGAGGTTTGATGTTTAATTAAAATGTCGTGATGTTCTTCAACTAACAAACCTTACAATTTTCATATCAATCTGCAATTTGTGAGTTACGTATGCTCATTTGGTAATGATATTAGGCTCATTTTTAGAATGTTATATCAATGCATATTTCAAAAGTATCATATTACATTAGACTCGCATATTGAAATTAATAGGATTGTATTATACATATAATTTAATAAGTTTTTATGAAACAAAAAAAAGAATTAGAAGATATGAAGCAAAGACCGTGATACTCATTGTCAGTTGACGTGCACTTAGTCGTGTGTGCACTCAAAATAATTATCAATACTAACACTTATACGTAGTATAGCGTAGTAGAGTTCGTATCCACAGGGAAAGGAATAACTTTCTTTTTATGTAACTAGTAAATAAAGGGGGGGGGGGGGGGTTGATTGAGTGATTTGATTAAAATTAAACACGAAGATGAACGAGTTATATGAGTTTTAATTCAAAGATAAAAGGGACTTGGCATTGCTACTTTCCACTTGTTGATATATTTTAGTCGATCATTGTTATATCTATAACTTATCTCCTCTCGAATACTCAATCGAGGAGTATATCCAATTCATCGAGGATAGCTATTAACAACGACCGTTCATTAATAACCCTTACTATTAGTCAAGTATAGAACAACGCCATATACCGACTTGATAGTAGCATTTAATCTCTTAACTCCTTGATAAAATCAATTGAGATTGATAACCTCAACACAATGGTTTTGGTTTAACCAACAAAATTAATCCCTCTTAAGTTTATTAACCACGACCGTGCATTAATAAACCGAAGTTACTTACTTGTGAAACTATCAACGATTAACCATCGGTTCGTTGATCGTTTCTAGTAATAATTAATATATGAAACAAAACTAGTTGATCCTTTAAGTAATGTTCAAAATATGAATATGAAATATGAATAGGAATTAATTAATACTCAAGGAAGAATATTAAAGAAAATGAATCCTACTATAGTTAATATCAAGATGTTAACTAATTGTCATCTTAGTAACACTCCCCAATATTAACATAGAGGAAGGAATAGCTATTACTAAGACCAATGTCAAGATGTTAACTAATTGTCATCTTAGTAACACTCCCCAACATTGATATAGAAATAGTATTTAAAGGAAAAATTAATATTCAAGGAAAGAAGTTAAGAAAATAACTCACAACTTTAATAATCAACAAGCTTCAAGAGCAATACCAAGAAATGGAAGTTTAGCTCCTCATTTGGAGACTAAACATGCTAAAAGAAATATAGAGAAATGCTATTCTAAACTGAGCTTAAGAGTATTAAGGAATTGGTTTCTAAAAGTGAAGGAAAGGAGGTGTATTTATAGGCTTTTTTGAGGTGCAGGTCGGGTACTCGATCGAGTATATACATATACTCGATCGAGTATGTGTAGAAACTCGAATTTGATCCATACTCGATCGATATTCGAGTAGAATTCATAGCTATACCCGATCGAGTATGTCGGTGTACCCGATCGGGTATAGACACTCGATCGTGGTAAAATCTTCCCTGCATGTTCCTTTGTTTTCGGATCCGATCCGATTTGAAATTTCAACAAGATACCCGATCGAGTATAGGTAATACTCGATCGAGTATAGACCAAAATCAGGATCTTCCCTTTTTGTCTTGTGATTTTGCACCTTCCTTCCACTTTTGGGGTTCACCAACTGTCCTTTGAGTGACGGTAGACCTGTTTGAGCTCAGAATGATCCTAATCTAAATGAATTACAACTAAATTACAAAAATAACTATTACACCAAAAGTGTGTAATTTCTGAAATATTAAACAACCAAAACTTACTAAAAACGTAAACATATACATGGAAATTACACGCGTATCATCAGTCTCATAATACTCAATACAATAGGTGAAATGCTCACTAAAAGTACACTATTGCTGATTTAGCGGGAGTCATGATTTTTCGCTTAAAATACAAAAACGTCACCTAAAAAATTAGGTTGTTTTAATTAAATTGGCTGTATTTCTTAATTGAGCCTTTTTTGTGGGCCTTGTTACGTTCTTTTTCTTACTTTTTCATACTTATAATGAGCATTAAACAAATATCAAATGAGTATACATACTTGCGAAATGAGCACCAAAAAATTCAGAAAGATCATCTAAAATTTATTCAAACGAGCGAGCTTACGGCCCCCTTTTTTTTCTGGCCTGATCTTCCAGAAATCTGGTTTTCCCGGAATCAATTCATGTTCCCTTCGTCATTAATTAGAGAGAAACCAATCTTTTACTTTAATTGCTCATTCGCATTAGTTTAGTTTTCATACCAATCAAATCTCGCACGACGCATTTTTAAGTGCGAAAAACCAATCTTGACTCCCTTTTGTCCGTCCATGTGGAGACGATACTCGTACTTACACTACTATATTACAATCTTTTTAAGTGCGAGAAAACTCACATCAGTGGTCTAGACGGGTAATTTTCACAAAATACTTGGATGTACGGTTCTCACCCGTACACCCCGGTGTATAGTATAGGAGCTGTCCAAACACCACCCTTTGCCATCCTTGAATGCACTCGGCCTCAATATTAATAATAATTAAAAAAGACACATGAACAAGAGCAAAATAACGTAAAAAAACAAGGACGATGTTATTTAAGTTTTATGATATATTCTGATTAATCTTTTTGATATGATTATATTTTTTTTATTGCTTTAAATATTCGAAAATAATAACTAATCTAATAGGGAGTACTAATTTTTCTATACAACTTAATCTTATTTAAAAAATTAAAAACTCATAAAAATAAGACTAATCAAACAAATTCATGCTTTAAAAGATTCATGCTTTAACTTTTATTTTCTTTCGAGGATTACATTTCAAATTGCGAACGTTGAATCAAAACACTCAGTCAATTGTCATGATGAGTGCACTTACAAATTTGTCAAATTTTTGAATGAGACGTGACTGTATGATACAGAGAGTTGCTTGGGCTACCCCGATTTGTACCCCAAAGTGTACACCGTCTGTGTACATAGACATTTGGGCAGAAAGTTCTGTCCTCTTTCAAACGAACTGCCTGTGTACACAGGCAATTCAGAGGTAGGTACAAATTGAAGTACAATTTGGGATACCTATAGAATTTTTGGTATGATATATCACCATTTCCCCAACCAATTTCAAAATAATGTTTGACCATCATTAATGTTTGTAGGTAGGTCAAGGTATGATATTAAAAGACGGTTGGTTAATTAATTCACACTGATTGGCCATTGCTTCCCAAAAATGCATTGGCATTGAAATGATGACATATATATTACTAAAATAAATACAATCGGAAAAAATAAGACCACATATATGTAGTGATTATATTAGTAACTTTTAGTTACTATAATTATATATGAAGTACTCCTTCTGTCAACTTTCACTTTTTAGTTGTCCCAAAAAACTTTGTCACTTTCCCATTAAAGCAACTAATGTGTGGTTCAGCACATTTCTCTCTCCTCTGCACAAACCTCATTCATACAATTTTTACTATTCTTATTTCACACCTATTTTGCACTTGACAAAGTCTACTGGGACGGAGGTAGTATAAGTTTACTTTATGATGATCATAAAGTTACATTAATTATATTCTTGGGATATAACTAAAATATATTCCATTTATCTAAATATGAATATATTTGTTTTTAGTCGTACACTTATAACTAAAATTAAGAACGTTTACGAAAATGTTACTAGTGACTAGAATCATGGGCGGAGCCAGGGGTGGGCCAACCTAGGCCATGGCCCACCCCAAATTTTAAAAATGGCTTAATTTTTAAGGTAAAAAAATTCGTGTAAATTTTTTTCTAAAAATATTCTTTGTACCGGCCCAGTCCGGCTCAGTGCCCTGGCTCCGCTCCTGACTAGAATAGTAATGAAATCATAGTAATTTAGCTTCAATTTCTAAACTTAAGTTACCATAGAACTACATTCTAGTAACTATTAGTTATATTTGTGTAAATAAGATTTATTTTAATAATATTTTTTGAAAAAAAATGTTTAAAATTTCGATTGTGGAATCCAAACACTCTTTAGTATTCAATGATTTGCATCTCACGTTTTTTTTTTTATTTTCCAAAGAAGGCATGTATGGTATATCACCATTAATTCCCAATCCATTTCTGAAAAATATAATTAATCACCATCATTAATGTTAGAAAGCAGGTAGGTATACGACATTAGAACTCCAAACTATAAGAAGGCCGCAAATATTGAGAAAATCATAGTGTCCGGCCTCATCAATCATACAAATAAGCAAAACAAAGTGAAAAGCATGGTTATGGATCAACACAAAATATGGGTCGTTCTGGCGGTGTTGTCACTCGCGATTTCCGTTGCGGACTTATCATCCGCAACGAAATTCCCGGTGGTCGATTTGGTCAATCGATTCGACGAAAATAATGTAACTTTGTTATGCAAGGCTTTCGAACACACCATACTGTCAGGCCAGAAATTTTCATTCGAAGCCAAGGAGAAAAACGACCCTGATGCCTATGGTTGCGGCTGCTATGACAGTCACGAAGGCAAACTGGTGATCGATGCATATGATCTTAAAAGAGATGAACAGAATCAACTCATCCATTGGAAGTTTACCAGCATTGGAGCCTATCTTAGTTATGATAACATTCACTGGAAATTAGAAGCAGAGTGGGAATCTGATTAATTAATGGCTTTTATCTTCATTTTTTGTTGTTGTTTCTGATATCAATCAACATCTATATATATATTAAACCACTTAAGTCTGGTTCCCGCTCAAGACTGGGGACATTTAGGTAAATACAGCTACACTTTCTATTCTACCAGATTACACCGGCTTATTCTTTCGAGTTTAGGGAAATCAGGGCTCTAGCACAGACCTTCACTCACTAGAGTTCTCGCTGAAGTTGGACTCGGAGCTCTCTTAACATCCCGCTCGTCTTCTCCTGCGCCGCCTAAGAACGTCACCATCTTGGATTGTTTGATGGAATCGGTTACTCCCTTCGTGCAAGCTCAGCAACTATATGAGGTATTAATCCTGAGATTTCATTCATTCCAATAATATGTATTTGTGCTAATTCCTGCAGCTTTTACTACTGACTTCAATTGCTCTTTATTTATTGCAGGAAAACAGTATGTTGCTTCATTTTACTTTTCTGACAGTTCTCTATGTTTAACTATTACCGCTAAGTGCTTTTTTTCCATATGTTCTTTTATAATATGCCTCCAATATATCTCAGCATGCCATATGTTTTTATTGCTTCAATTATTTTAGTTTTTTGTCCAATCAAATTCACTACCTTTCCTGAAAAAACCAAACTTTATGCTCCTTAAACTTAAGTTTAGCATTAGGTTTAGTAGACTTTTGGATTGATTTCAGAAATAATGATTATTTTCTGTTTTTTTTTCCTAACTAAACTGACCTTTATCATATCTAAACTACTTTTACTTACGGTTTTCATTGCGTTGGTGGCTGAACCTTCAGAATGTTCTACGTCACAAGGTACTTTAAAATTTTACTTTTGAAAGTATTTGTGTTAAAGTTTAATTCCTAATCTGGCAAGGGCTTAGGTATGATAATACATCTAATATTCACCATATCTTACGGTTCTATTCATTGTATTTTATATTAGGATCAACTAATTCTCTAATAGATGCAACCTCTCCTTTCAAAGTCCTTTTGAAGAATATCAATATGCATTTTGACAATGTTTTGCTCCTCTTTATATAATCCATTTTTTTTCCTTTTGGACTTCAGGACTAGAATAAAATAATGACGGATAGATGAAGCCAAATACTCAAATTATATTATCTCAATTTAATGTGGACTCTAATCTAATCTATTTTATAGTTACATCACGTTAGTGAAATTTGCTGCTATAGCATATTAGTTTTATTTTTATTTAATAATTTACATATATTCTTTGATTGCGGTGTCTATGATAATTAATTTCATTGTTTGAGTTCCATTCACTTTCGGTTGCTTCTTAAAGCTTCAAATGAAATGAGTATGATGGTTATATGATACTACAAGCTTAGCTATTTGTCTTTTATGTTTTTCCCAATATAACCTACTGTGTTAACTAAAGTATTAAGTAGTTGTTAATGTACAAGGTTGAAAGAGTACGATGTAGAATTGGCATGAAAGTCCCAAAATGGATTGAGGAGCAATTCTGATGTAGTTGGAATAATCAAAGTGTTGTCTGCGTGTCTCTACTTACTTGGAGCATGATCTTCACACTACAAATACCGAGACCGTTTGTAACTATATACTTCAGACTATTTAGATGCTTCACACAAGAAAATTGAGTTCGTTGCCTCTCACCTGAGGATTTTTTTGCTAATTGCTGCATCTTTACCGTCTTCAAAATCCAGGTGAGCCTACTTTACCATGAAAATACATCCCATTCTCTCAAAAAAAAAAAAAATACATCCCACTATCTCAAGGTAGTTGTTTTAGTTACTTGACTGATATCATTTTGTTGCCTTTTTTATAGATGCAAATGCCAACGTCTCATGTTTATTATGTGCATCTCCCATCTTGGTTCACCGGTAATTATCACCTCGCTTTCTTACTAATTTGATTTCATTTCTGTTTTGTTTTTATAATTGGTCTCGGGTTTTCGATTTTCTCATCCTCTTAAGGTTTTTCTCACTTTTTTTCCTTTTTGTTGTTTGAGTTCCAGTCACTTAAGTCTCTACCCACTCATCATCCAGGGACATTTATGTAAATGGCTAAATACATGTAATCTGATCTCTTACCCACTCATAAACCTCTTGCAACATCTTCTTCATGTACCTGTATCTCCTCCGCCCCTCACCACAACTTTCAAATCCTCTTTTTTTTTTTCACTAAAGATATGGCGTTAAGAATCTCAGCCGGAGTTCAAGGTATTGCCAGATTTCTTTTTGGACGTTTTGCTTAAATCCTTTGAGAAATCCGGCAGTCTATGAGTCTAACCTTGACATATGTTTCCCTGCTGAGTTTCCCTATAACCTTTGCTCTTATCCGATTGACTACTGAGAGTGATTAGGAGAGTACCTTGCTTCGTTGACCCCCATATTTACTCTTTCGGCCATAGGCGACACTCTAAAGTCAATCTCACCCAGGCGAAATCACTTTGAGGTACTTTTTCAGTCTTTTTCTCCCATTCCAGCTACTTGCGGGCTTCGGATTGAGTTTAAGGCTCTGGTTTGCTGATTATCGTGGGTTTAATTAATTTTTTTGTGTGAATTCAGTAGCACCAAAGAGATATTAGTTCTTTGAAGCCTTTGTATTCAACCTTAGTTTTTTGTGTAATTGTGTATTAACTTTTATACTTGCTTTTTTCTTTCATTGTTGTCTTTTTGGGTCAATATTCAATGGCTTTGTGATTTGTGTATTCCTTTTAATAAGATAATAAAAGCCTGCTTGCTGTTTCACTTTGTTTGCTAAAAAAACTTCACTCTGTTTTGTTTTCCAGCCTGTTGAAAGCCAACTTTATTCATATAAAAGTAGACAATGGCTTTGGCCATTTTGATAATCGGATGTTTTGATGATAGTTGGGTTGATGATAATCATCGACCCAACTATTATTTTCCTTAACTCTTGTGCCATATCAATGGCTTTGGCTATTTTGATTTTCCTGACAGAAAGACACAAATCCGTCTTGGTTATTCTTTCTTCTTGGGTGATTATTGACACTACATGATTAAGAACATATTCTGGAATACAAAGTTAGATCCGATTAAACTTTGAGTTTGACTAATAGATGGACTGGATAATTTTTTTGGATTTATAATGGATGATGAATTGTAAACAATAACATTCATTACACATTGCACATATAATATAGTTATAAATGCATCTAGGGAATTGAAGTTAACAAGTACGAAAAAGCTAGAACAAATATGAAAAACAATAATAATGGAGTTGAAAAGGTTCAGGTCCCTTTATATCATTAAACGTTCCCGTCAAATGATGATGAAATGTGAAAATATTATTGTTCTATTAAATAATAAACGAATTTTTATCATATATAGTATGCCATCTGAATTCTGAACATGTAGTAGTTCTGGGAGATCATTTAGTTATAATATTTAATAATGGAGTTGAAAAGCTAGAACAAGTCAAAAGAATAGTAACAATGCCTATCATTTAGTAATGTGCTTTTATTATTACTGTTTTTTATATTTAGTTCTGGGAGATTATTTAGTTTTCTTTTAAGTGAACTAAGTCTATCATTTAGTTTCCCTTTAAAAAAAAAGCAGTTTTGGTATTACTAACATGTTGGACTATGTGAGTTAAATGTGTTTCTTTTTTATATATGATTTGAGAGCACTAAAATTATAAGAGTTGAAAAAATGCAGTTTTCTTATTTTCCTTTCATTTTAGTATGTTCTTCTTCTTTTAGATATTCTATCCTTGGGCTAAGACTTAAGCCATTAGTGTATTCACACAGTGATGTAATAGTGTATGACTGCTATTCATAATGTGATGTATCTATAATGTCTATAATTAAATTAGAGTCCAACATGAATTCAGATAAAATATGATTTCACTTCATAAAAAATACTCTTTGCAACTTTAGTGGTCATTAATGAGTTCTCACCAATATAGAATGATAGGAATAAAGAAAAATCTCTAAATTTGAAGGAGTGAACAATGAGAACAAAAGACTACCAAATCCATTGGAAAAAGCAATCCTAAGACCTCAAGAACATAATCTAATATAACTAATCCCCACATTCTGCTCTAACTTCCATTTAAATTCAAGTAATCTCAACATCTACTATCTAATCAATATCTATATACTTATTAAGTGGGCTAGGTATCCTGCCTAAAATTTTAGGGATATAAGTGTAATTTTAGTCATTTCTTCCACCTCTCTTTACCCTCGAGCCCTTTTTAACTTCCCGGAGTTTTAAGAGTATCAGGTTGTTATTTCAATGTAATTTGAGGTTTCATATATGTCTAAACACATAATTTGTATTACAATTTATTAACAACATGACATGCTTGAACTTTTTTGTAGAGAGAGTGCTTTAGAAGGAAGATGAGAAGTAGAACAAAAAACTGGGTTACTGAAAAGGTCAGTATTTGAGTTGTGTGCATTATGTAGTTGGTCTCAGTTCTTAGTTTTTAAAAGTTATAATCTCTTGATGAAAAGTTGCAGAAGAAATTTGTCTGGTGAACATGTTACCGGGGCAAAAAGCCAGAAGGCTTCTCTTGACCACTCTTATGCAGCAGTTGTTTCACCCTCCACCAACATCAATTCCTTAAGCATATTTCAAATTGGAGTTCCAGAATGTGGCCTACATGGTTTCTAGAATGACATTAGGAATTGCATGTGGACGGGTTTCTAGCTTTATTGGGCAAAATAACAATAGGGCTAAGGCTAATGCTGGTGACACAGGCCCATGTTTTTTTGGATTTATGAGGAGTTGTTTATAAATCATGTCTTGGTTGGGTTATTTATGTTTTTTAATAATATTTTTTTGCAGGTCATGCCATGATTGTGAAACATGAAGGCAATAGTAATCATCATTTCTAAAAAAATGTGTCAAAAATGTGAAAGAATGTGCAGTGAGAAAAAGGAAGTTAGAAGATCAGTTGTTGAAGTAATGATCTACAATTTTTCCCATTTATTGTGTGACTGGAAATGAGACTAATACTACACATTTTTCTTTTTGTTTATCAGATGTTGCTACTGTATATTATGCCCCAACTTTTTTCTCATTGATATAACTTTTTGCTACTCCCGGTGTGGAGAGCTGTTAAATTTGACAGTGGACATCCAAGATCTTGATAAGTTCTCGATGATAATCAATCTGTTTGCAAAGTTCCACACTCGAGACCCACCCAATGTCTCATCTTCTCTTTAGATCTTTTCCAACATTTTAGGCTAAAGATTATAGAAGAAAGTGAAGACTAGAATATGACAAAATGCAATGTTGCTATGATTCTTCTTCTATCTTCATATGTTATCATTTATGTCATGGCAAGAAGTGAAAATATGATTCTTTTCTCTCTTGGTCCATGGACCATGGTTTTTTGGAGTTTTTGTATTTTTTTTCCTATTTTCGACAAGTGATTTATTTGATAAAATATTTATTAGGAAGATATTTGAGAAAATATATGAAAAGTGATTAATGGTAAAAATGGAAAGTGTTTGAATACAAAAATGATTTCCAAAATGTAAATGTTGAAGTGTTGAATGCAAAGTAGAAATAGAAATAGAAAAATATGAAAAGCAGTTAAATTCCTAGACAATTGGGTTGAGTTTTGATCGATTGTCTGTTCATGGGAGATGGTAGCTCGAACTCATTTATTGCAGCAGCCGGAGAATTCATTTTTAGATATAATGTGTAAATGAAAGTGTCTATTTATAATGAATGTATTTCAGAGCGTACCATTATTAAACGATATAAATTGTATGCACACGAATAGACTTTGGAATACTTGAATGGTTTTGTAGATAATGTGTTGGTTTGTTGTCCCGTGCAACGCACGGGTAAAAAGACTAGTTATTATAAATCCGATTCATCTTCATTTTCTTTAAGCGGATGGAATATAGCTAGTATATACGGAATATTGCCGTACCAAATAAATAAAATAATTAAAAAAGATAACTTTTTAGTATATGACTACAATAAAGATTAATTAAAAAAGTAATTAATGACTAGAGTAACAATAAAATCATAATAACTTTTGTTCAATTCTTAAACTTACATTATCATGACACTACATTACAGTAACTATTAGTTATATGGAATTTTATCAACTCAGAACTCGAAAGATAGATGGATTAGAATTATCGATCCGGGACCCGAAAGATGAAATGTATCGATATAGTACCCGCATGATGGAAAACTATCAATTTAGGACCTGAATGATTAAAAATTATCAATCTAGGACCTAAAGTTGTCATGAATTTTATTATTATTTTTTATTTTAAAAGTTTAAATATTATTTAGGTTTATTAAACTAATAAACTTCTGTGAAGGAAAGTTATAATTAATTAGCAAATGAATTAATAAAAAAATTAAATAAACAAAAATCTATGAAATTTTTGGTCTTAGATTGATAGTTTTACATCATTCAGGTCTTGTATTGATACAATTCATCTTTCGGGTCCCGGAATAATAATACATTAATCTTCGGATCCTGAATTGATAAAATTCCTAGTTACATTATGTAAATATGTTTTATTTTAATGATATTTTTGACAAAAAAATCATAAATATATTACTCATTGTTCCCTAAAATATACTCCCTCTGTGGCTAAAAAAAGTTCCCTTGTCCTTTTCGGGATTTGTCCCAGAATAAAGTTCCCGATTACTTACTTTCCATGCATTTTGAGTAAAATGACCCAGTTAGCCCTTATGTTTTACTCCTTATCTCCCACACTGAGGACATGTTTATTTCACGGGTTACTAAATGGTGCTTATTAAGACCCACGTTTTTTTTTAATCCTGGGGAGATCCGACCAGCAAGGTGGTTCTGGGTTGGGACCAGGGAACACCTCACCAATTTATTGAATTCAAAAGGTTAAACATAGTAGGAGGGCCAAACCAAAGCCTACTCGGAAATTATAGTACATATGGATAGCTAATAGCATCAAATTTGAGAATACCAACAAAGTGATTAAAATGATGGGAATTGGTTTTAATCGAAGTATTACGATATGCTAAGTAATCAGCTGCTCTATTCATTGCAGGGTGGATATATGGCATCGTCCACTTGCATCCTCTTAGGTGTTTTTTGTAGCTTGGATTCTCTACCAGTGTTTCCAGTGTTGGATGGATTCTCCCATAATACCCTCATAGATTTCTTTATTGTCCACCTCCAAAACAAATTGAAGAATGTTAGTAGTTTTTAGGAGTGCGATAAAATAAGAAATAGCATCATAAGTAGTTGTGGTATTGTGATGATTAGTAAGGTGAGTAACATGACCAATGTAAGTGCCAAATTCATCATGAATGATGGCTGCAGTACGGTTAAGATTGGGAGTAATGGTCCTCCGACCACCCGTGTTAATAAGCAGCGCATAAAATAAACAATGTTGTAAGATCGTGTTTACTTCACAAGGTTTAAAACACCGTTTAACATTAAAATGTCCAAAATAACTGTATACATATATAGATGCACAAACATTCATGAACACAGGTATATAATATAATATGTGGGGTCACCTCGAACATGTACCCTACTGCTAACCCCTTAGCCCGCCCTATACCCTCACTTATCCCCACCCCTACCCTACACCCATTCCACACCCTTCTTGATCCCTACCCTACCATACACGATAGGGAGTGGGTGGGGGTAGGATGGCGGTAGGGGTGGGGTCGGGACCAGGGTGAGGCTGAGGTAGGGGCTGAGGGGTATGGTAGGTGTGGGGTAGGGGTGGTAAGGGATAGGGGTGGGGCCAAGGTAAGGGCAAGTGGTAGGGAGTGAGGTAGGATCCTGGTTAGGGGTAAGGGTGGGGATGGTGGGTAGGGTGGGGTGGGGGTAAGGGCAGGGTAAGGGGTAAGGTAGGGTTGGGGTAAGGTATTGTCGGGATCGAGGTGGGGCCGAGATAGGAGCATGTGGTAGGGGTGGTGGGTAAGGTGGGGTCGAGGTAAGGTAGGGGTAGCGTAAAGGTGATAGGGTGGGGTCGGGTTGGGGCCGAGGTAGGGGTAGGGGTGGGTCAGGGTGTAAGGTAGGGTAGGGTGGGGTCGGGGTCAGGGTTAGGTAGGGTAAGGGGGGGTACGGTAGGATGTTGGTAGGGCGGGGCCGAGATTGGGGTGGGCCGAGGTAGGGTAGGTGTGTTGGGGTCAGGGTAAGGTAAGGTAGGGGTAGCGTATTTGGTGATAGGGTGAGGTCGGGATCGGGGTGGGGCAAAGGTAGGGGGTTAAAGTGGGGTGGGGTGGGGTGGGGTAGGATGGGCGGTAGGGCCGGGATTGGTGTGGGCAAAGGTAGGGTAAGGGTTAGGGTGAGGTAGGGTAAGGTGGGGTTGGGGTAAGTGTATGGTATGAGGCCGGTACTGAGGTAGGGGTGGGGTCTGGGTAAGGTAAGGTAAGGTAGGGTAGGGGGTAGATGACGATAGGGTGGGGGTCGGGATCAGGGTGGGTCAAGGTAGGGGTAGGGTAGGGCGGGTCGGGTGGGGTAGGGGTAGGGCAAGGGGTAAGGTACTAGGATGGAGGTAGTGGGTAGGGGTGGGGTCGGGTTCGAGGTAGTGGGGTGGGGGGTAACGGGTAGAGGGGTAACAATAGGGTAAGGGCAAAGAGTAAATTCGGAAACTGAAAAAGTTTAAAGTGCCGCTTAATTAATATATGGTAACCTCTTTCGGTTAGTAAGCGGCTTTTTAAGTTGTGTGCATGTTTACTTCACCCGTGTTACGAACCTAACTGTGACTTTAGCAGCGAAGTAAATGCCTCCTGACTCTCTCTAGACACGGAAGAATTTCTCCACTACGGCTGCGTTTGTTTTCTAGCAAGTTGATATCTACCCGCTGCAAAATATAGCGGTTTGTAGTTCAAATGAATTAGTGGATTAGGCAAAACACTATTTACCAAACGGAGTCTGTAACTGGAGTCAGGGGCGGAGGGAGTGGTGGCCTGGCTGGGCCATGGCCCAGAGTATTTTTTTCTTTTTTCGTATTATATATGAATTTTAAAAAAATATTTAGATTTGGCCTAGTGAAAATAAATACTGGCCCAGTGCAAATAAACTCAGTGCAACCGTGCAGGGCTAAAGAAAAGAAGCGCAAAAGTTCTGCGGCAGAACAGAGTCTCAAGTGACGGACGTTTTACACTTCTACGCATTGCAAATGAGCAGACCACTCGGTCCAGTCGCCAGATAGCAGACACCGCCTCTCCTCCGCTCCGCCGCTCGCCCTTCGCAGCTACGTTCCTGACCTGCTCACTTGCTTTTGAGCTTCTCCAGTTCTCTCGAGGTAAGGGGTTCACACTTCACATTTTAGTTTTTGTTAGTGACTACTGACTTGTGTTTTAGTTTAATTTAATTAATTTAATTTAATTGAGCATGTTCTTCACACTGCAATTTTTAGTTTAATTTGTGTATTTTATTTGTTATTTTAGTTTGCGTTAGTGACTTAGTGTGTCACAATTGATTTGTGTGCTTTGAATTGTAAAATAAAAAATTAGGATTTAGGAATGTAAAATGTGATTTGTGAATTTCTTAAAATAAAATATTAATATGAATCATGAGTTCAATTGCTCTGACTTAGTGTGGGTTTAAATTCCAAAAATTCATTTGAATCATATAATGCTGATAATAATATCTACAAGCTTGCTTTGGAGTTTTATCCCGGTGATTTCCAGGCTCAAGAGAGGTATGCTTTGAAGAGTGAGTTGTAATTCTATAAACCTCACATAGTTCAAAATTCTCAGTTTCAAGTTCAATCTCGAAAGGCAGAACACTTCAAAATGGTTACATGATTAATTCATCTTGTATTGACTTTACCTGCTTCGACTGCAACAACAAAAAGATCATTTTCTACAATGAAACTCGTAAAGAATGAAATTCGTAACTAGGTGAAAGATGAATTTCTTGCCGATTGTTTGACCATCTTTATTGAAAAGGAATTTGCCAAGAAAATCGATGTTGAGTTTGTCATAGATGAGTTTGCTAAGGTCAAAGAATGCCGTGTTCAGTTAACGTTTAAGTTTCAAACATTTTATGTACTGTTTAAAAATATTACTATAAATTTTAATGGATTTTAATCGTTATGTTCACCCTATTGTCGCTTTTAAAATTTGTATATAATGTTTTTAGTGTATAATCGACCCAGGGTAAGCATACGTCCTAGCTACGCCCCTGACTAGAGTACTTTGATCGTTGAGACGATTGAAAAATAAGATCTTGAAAATGAACCGTGCTGCCTTTGACAGAGGTTCCCAACAAGAGTAAAAATCGATTTCCTTGAGCGGCAAGAAGATTGAGAGATGATGGCTCAATGATTGTTGTCTGAAATAGGTGAACACCCTCTCCGGATAAAGACAGAACAGGGGAATCAGTGAAAGAAAGGGTAGCGCACGGTGCACCGTGCACGCCGTTCCATTGCAAACGTCAAATGTAGAAGCAACTATAAAAATAGACAAAGGACGTTGGCGATGAGGCCGACAAACGGTGAAGGAAAGTGGAGACTGACGACCCATTTAGAGAACATGGATACATCAAACGGTAAAACGGTATTATTGGATAGTCAATATATAAAATTATTCCACCTAAAACGCGTGAA